CACGTGAAAACCTTTCAACTGAAGGTAAATACCACGGGACCTAGTCCAGAAAAATCTTTCACTATGAATATAATGGGTATACAGAGTTTTCTCTTTAGACACTTGGTTAGAGGTACAACAACAATAAACATGACAGAAAAGATGACTTCTTTTGCACCGGAGAAGGAACACAAAAGCCTAGCACTCTTTTTTCTCTCTCCTTTCTCTCCCTCTAACATTCAAACACTCTGTGATTTGAGCTTTCTTGCTTTGTTGTTCACCGACTTCCTCTGCTTCCGAAGTGAAGGCTACTTACAGCCTCAGTATTTGAATGTGAAACAGACAACCCACCTTAAATTAAGGTGAGTTAAGACTAGTTTACTAGCTCACCATTATTGACAAAAAATTTCAACAACGTTTTTCACCATGCATATTTACTAGATATAAAAAAAAAATCAACCAATGCCCCCACATTTATTGTCATGTGACCTCCAAATAAGGCGGGGCCCATCCAACAAATCTTTGTGCATATTTACTGGATATAAAAAAATACCTCCGTTAAAGAATATTCTTCAAAATAAGAACCTTTTGGCAGTGTAGGAATTGTACATGGATTTGAAGTCTAGGGATATCAGGTGTCATAACCCCAAGGACTTTTAATATAGAACCAAAGAAGGGATTGTGATTTGTGATCCCAGCCCCACCTACTCCTAGTCCCAACTCAAATCCTATTCTCAGTCCCATTTGGAACCAATAGCTGCCATAGTTCTCCATCAATATCCAACCAGCAGGTAATGGTAATGAGGAAAATGGTCGTAGGCCTTAGCAACTCGACACTGGATGGGAGAATAATTTACTCCTGGTTTTTCTTCAAAACATGTCAACCTTTAACCAGAGCTCAAACTTCTTGAGGATTTTCTGGGTTTTAATGTTGGTTTCTACTTTAGAAAACGAACAGTCCAAATTAGAACTCTAAACCTTCTCAAATATTTTCTTCCTCTGCTTCAGCTTCTAATCAGACCTCAAAAGTTCACTGAGAAATTTTCAGCAGTAAAAAAACGACTTGTGTTGAGCTCTTAATCTGGTTGCAATTTATGAGGAATGATTACAAACACATATATCTCATAATACCAAAATAGTATGAGAATTGCTGTAAATTTTGAGCATCATTCTTGGAAGTTGAGTTACGTCAACTAGACAAAATCTGTTTCAGTCCTTGTCTTGTTAGTTGGATAATACTGACCATTGCTACTAATATCAAACTATTTGGTATGGACTAAAAACGATTATGGTATAAAGCAACCATCATTTATTTTCAAACAGGTAAGAAATTTGGGGGTTTATTCTTCGAAGAATCATGCAGTGGAGCGGTTTTCTGATATGCTGAGCAGATTTTGGACCTACTTTACTAAAGCATCTCTCGAAATTCAAAAAATTGAAAAGAAAAAATTGTAGAGGCATTAGCTTTGAATGTCGACCATATAGCTTGTCTGATGTCTTTTCCCAATAGAAATTCTAATTTGTGGGTAGCTTTTAATGTTGACCATATAGCTTGTCTGATGTCTTTTCCCAATAGAAATTCTAATTTGTGCGTCACCCATGACATCTTCTTTCTTTTCTTCTTCTAGCACTATACAAGCAAGCACCAAAAATAAAAAACAATGCACCATTAATTAGATAGAGATCTTAAAAGTTCCAGCCTTAATTAATAAAGAACACGTGGATAATGCTTTTGAAGTAAATCTAGGAAGCAGACACAAGCTAACAAAACCACCGTCCCCCATTAGTATGTGACCATTATTATTATGAAATAAAAGCAAGACCCTCTAACAAACACCAACTACAACCAGTATGGAGCAGAAGATAGAGCATTCTTTCCTTGACGTCAGAGGCCTCAGCCTCCACATAGCTCATATCGGCAAAGGTTAAGGCTCTCTCTCTAGTCAATCTCCCTCCATTTTTCATTCTATTATATATATATCTTCAACTTCAAGCCTTTGTGTTGACTAGAGTTGTTGAATGTTGGTTATGCAGAAGACAAGGGGACGGTAGTTTTCCTTCATGGCTTCCCTGAGATATGGTACACATGGAGGCACCAAATGTTGGCTGTGGCCGAGGCTGGTTACCGTGCCATCGCTCCTGACTGCCGCGGCTACGGCCTCTCTGAGCAACCAAAGGGAGGGGGGGATGCCAAGTGGGAGGATCTTATTGACGATCTCCTCGCCATCCTCGATGCTCTCCATATTCCCAAGGCTTTCATAGTCGGCAAAGATTTCGGGGCCATACCGACCTACGACTTTGCGCTCCGCAATCCGGATCGCGTCCTGGGCGCTGTGGTCCTTGGAATCCCTTTCTCTCCTAAAGGAATGGAATTCCATCTCATGCCCGAAGGATTCTATGTATGGAGATGGAGGGTGGGAATACCTGATCGGACAAAAAACATTAGCTAGTTAATTACGTCTACGTAGCTATCATGCTCACGCATGGTTTGATCCACTTTATGCAGGAACCAGGCAGAGCGGAGACAGACTTTGGGCGTTTCGATGTTAAAACAGTGATCCGGAACATTTATATCCTCTTCTCTGGCAGCGAGCTTCCGATAGCTGAGGAGGGGCAAGAGATCATGGACCTTGTTGAACCATCAACTCCTTTGCCTACCTGGTTTACAGAGGATGACCTCCAAGCATATGCTGATCTCTATGAGAGATCTGGTTTTACCTATCCACTAAAGATGCCGTATCGGTGAGTTCAATTGGCGTAAATGTACGATAGACTTACTTCTAATTTTCGATAATTTCGAGTAATGGAGGTTATGTTGGCAATCTGATAGGTCAATGAATAGGATGGAAAAGGCGGATCCCAAAATTGAAGCCCCCCTAATGCTGATCATGGGCGAGAAAGACTACGCTATGAAAACTCCAGGCATGGAGGATTATGTTAGGGGTGGGATGATGAAGCAATTTGTTCCCAATTTGGTGTTTGTGTTTATGCCTGAAGGGACTCACTTTGTTCATGAACAATTGCCGGGCGAGGTGAATAAGCTCATTGTTGATTTCATCAATAATCATGTTTCAGAAGTTTGAGATAGTGTTCTCTTGATTTGCAGCATGTTAATTACCAGTAATAAGGTACTTCCTGAATAATTGTTTTGATGATGGAGAGAAATACCTAGTCTTTCGCTTCTATGTAAAAGAAAGACTACATGGAATTACTCTGAGAGTTAAACCTTTTTATAGTTCGGATCTGATTTTAATAGAGATAAATTTTCGAAACAGTCCTATTTGGACTTTTATTTGCAAAAAACGACCCCTTTCTTAGTTAATTTAAAAAACCGATCTGGTTTCAGCTCAGTCGCTGAAACCTGGTCGGTTTCTGAATTTTTTTTTACGAAACTTCACGGGAGTCCAACTCCCGTGAAGTTTGGCATATTTTTAAACTTCACGAGAGTTCAACTCCCGTGAAGTTTAATTTCTTGAACTCCTGTGAAATTTAATTTCTTCAAAAATCTTCACAGGAGTTCAACTCCCATGAAGATTTACTTAAACAACAGACTTCACAGGAGTTGAACTCCCTTGAAGTATGTTGAGGATTAAAAACTCCACGGGAGTTCAACTCCCGTGGAGTTACATGCCAAATTTTCTAGAGAATCGCTCTCTGGGAAATTTAGACTGCAACTCCACGGGAGTTGAACTCCCGTGGAGTTTTGGTCTCCTATGTAACCGCGCGGCCGTGCTCCTCCCCGATTTCATTTCTAACGCCGCCGACCCAAACCCTAGCCCTCTCTCTCTCGTCCCAACCGCCGCCGCCCCAGGCCATTTCCGACCGCCTCCCCCTATTTCCTACCGCCTCCCTCCATTTCCGACCGTCGGAACCGCTACTTTCGCCGGAGTTCGACAGATTGAAGGTAAAATCCTCCAAAAAATTTTGTTCTCTTAATTTCTTGTATTTTCTCACTATTTCATGGTGATTACATGTAAAAAATTAGATTTTAGAATTTTATTGTGAATTATTTATGAATTTAGTGAAGAAAACTTAAATAAATTTGTCGATTTAGAAGGGAAATTATCAATAATGTAAAAATTAGTGTTACTACATAAGTATGACATCAATTAGATTTTAGAATTTCATTGTGAATAATTTATGAAATTTGCTCAGAAAAATTAAATAATTTTGTGGATTTGGAGGTGAAATTATCAAAAATGTAAAAATTAGTGTTACTACATATGTATGACATCAATTAGATTTTAGACTTTAATTGTGAATAATTTATGAATTTTGTGAAGAAAAATTAAATAATTTTTTTTGGATTTGGTGGTGAAATTATCTAAAATGAAAAATTAGTGTTACTACGTATGTATGACATCAATTAGATTTTAGAATTTAATTGTTAATAATTTATGAATTTTGTGAAGAAAAATTAAATAATTTTGTGGATTGGAGGTGAAATTATCAAAAATGAAAAAAATTAGTGTTACTACATATGTATGACATCGGTATATGAATTCGGGTAAAATTATGTTTCCCTAAAATTGATATAGGATTTAATGGTAAGTAACAATCAAATTTTAAAGTCTTTTTGTGTAATATTGATCTTGAATGTTTTACTCTTCAGAGGTAATGATGAACGATCGAATCGTAATTTTGTGTTCGTATGATGGAAAGATTAACTACCTCGAAAATAATATGCCCATTTACTAAGGAGGTGCGACGAGATCGTTGTTTATAACAAAATGGTGTACTTTTGATGAGTTTGTTAATGAATTACACAAACTTACACTAACCAACTCACGTGAGTATCACCTCAATGTTATTTGTAATTATCCTGTTGTGGAGAACAGGACAAGCGGCATTCAAATATCAAGTGACTACGATATGAGTCTCATTGGAGTCTTACATGAAGAGAAGCGTTTGATCGAATTATTCATTGAAAAACATCAAAGGAATTTGGGCAAATCGTTGAATTATGACGAAATATACTCTCGCATGTTGGAGGACCCTGATGTTGATTCCATTGGCTTTTGTTCTCCTCAACAAGATGAAGGTTGGACACAATCACAATATATGAGCGGTCCTTCGTTTGTGGGCACTTCGAATGCTTTCGATACTAACACGAGAGTTCAAGAAGATAATGTTAGACCCTAGAGGAGGGTGATTAGGGTCTTATGCTAATCTAATCTGATTTTATGCCAATCAAAACTAATTCAAATATTATTCTTACAAGATAGATATACAATATGATATGAACAAGAATATGCAATATAAATAAAGAGATATATCCTAGCAAAGAGGTATATGATGAAATATATGCAAGAATATATAAATTAACACAAGGGTAAACAAACTAAACAAGATAGTGGATGATATAAATAATGAGTATTGGACAATGGCGACAAGAAATATAAACATAAGAGAAGTGCGCCAAAGCAAACTCAAACACACGATATGATCACGGAATTCGGACCTTCTGTCCTACGTCTCTGCTCCTCACTCCCCGAGAGAAATCCACTATCACAACCGGGTTTTCTACGCTTACACGAATAACGTTTACACCTCATAATTGTCGGTTTTCAATGCTCACCGATCAATGTTCACACCTCACACTCTCACTCGGTTTTCTAGCTCACCGAAAACTTTATAACAACACACTCGGTTTTCTAGCTCACTGAAAACCTTACAATCTCACAATATAACAGAAATTGTTCTCTACAATGGATGAGAACTCAATTAAGCACAACTCAATGTTACAATCCCACAACCCAAATTATACTATGAATGTAAATACAATAAGCTCAAGTGGGTGTGTGTAAACAATGAGTGAAATCAAATCTAAACTCAATATAAAACTAGCTTTAATAAAATGATAATCAAACAAATAGATATAAAGCTAGAAATAGAATTTAGAAAACTTCTCATTAGATCAAGAGATAGAGGGAGAATAGTTGGATGCTCAAACTCCAATAGGTGATCTCCTCAAACTCTTGTAGAATTGATTTTACAAACTCAAACTCTCAAATACTTAAAAACTTTTTAAACAAACACTAAACAAAACTTAAACCATTGTTAAAACTTTGTTAAAATATTTTCTTGGCATCTCATGAAAGATGAGATCAATGGGGTTTATACCCACTCAAAACTTCAGCAAAAACCCAATCAAAATGACCAAAAAACCTAAGAGAAAACAGCTCAGAAACTAGCCGTTGGAACCCAACGGTCAGTTCGGCGGGCGACCGCGCAAAACTCGCGGTCAACCGCGAGCCAGCTTTGAAACTCAGAAAATTTTTAGAAAACCGAGCTCTGGAAAACAGACGGTCGACCGTGATGGTCGACAGTGAAATTCTCTGGACTGCATACGATCGACCGTCACGGTCGACCACGAGCCAAAAAAGAACATACTGAGTCTCTGAACTCTAGGCGGTCGACCGTGGCGGTCGACCGCAAACTGACATATGAAATTATATGTTTGAAAACTATTTTATGATTTTAAAACCCTGTTTAAAAATATCAAATAAATTCCAAAAAATGGAAAACTTTGGGAAATGATTATAGACATGATAATACACATGCTACAAAAACTGGTTTTTTAAAAAGGACCTCCCAAATGAATAATATCATCATTTTATAAAATAGTCCAAAATACGAAAATGTGAACATATGAGTTTTGATATTTTAGCTTAATCATGTTTTGAAACATTACAAAATAATTTTGTAGACTTAATAAAAGATGTATATGATTATTGTTAAGTCCAAAATCTGAGAATATAATATTTTTACAAAATTACATAGTCTATGCAATATATTCTGAAACATAATAGAATATGAAACAAATAAAAATGTAAATAAATTTGTTTGTTGTTTCATATCTATGTAGCTAAACCAAAACACAATAATAAATATAAAAAATGTAATTTTATATTTATAAACATAAAAACTATAAAATCATGTATGTATATATATAACTATATATATACATAGAAACCAAAACTAAAATGTGTGTGTGTATATATGATTGAGCTTAAGGTACTAACACACATAATATAAAACCTAAACTAAATTACCCAAGCTTGATCTTGATCTTCAATAGCTTGACTTGGTAATCTTACGGATGAAGCTTGAACTTTGATCTTGAACTTGAATTGCATTGCTTCAACCATAATTTTGCCAACCTCCATTGGATATGATCGTGAAAGCGTAATTCCATCAATCCTCCAACATATTGTTTGCCTAGAATAAATATAAAACACAAATACTAGACAAACAATATTAGATGTAAATTGTTTATAAATCATCATCAAAACAAGAAGGCCAACATATAATGCAAGTGTTTAATCTGAGAATGATGATGAAGAGGAGGGCTTACAAATTAATAGCATGACCTTGATAGATCGTGATGAAGGGGACAACCACCACATTGATGGGTGTTATGCTAATAATGAGTATGTTGTCTTAGAGGATCTGTTGCCAAATGAACTTCATGGAGAAGAATATATTGATAACTCCATGATGGAAAGTGTTCCTAATAGCACAAATATTGGTCATGATACACAGGATGAGGACTTCTCATTCGTGAAGGGAGATCTTTATGAGAGTAAGGAGAAATTGATCCATGCGCTTCACTCGTATGCCATTGCAAAAAATGTCAAGTTTAGGCCAACAAAAAACAACACAAGTTATAATGTGGTTTGTTTTTATCACAAAAATGTTGAAGACGAAGATCTTGGTGGACACTACAACGGGAATGCGAATTGTCCTTGGAAGCTTAATTCATGTTCGGGTGTAAGAGTAGGTGGGCATTTCAAAATCACAGCGTACAACGGAGTGCACACATGTAGCAATCCTCGATTGGAGATGAATAACAAGCATGCGTCCTCTTCTTTTATATATCGATTGATTTTACCGTATCTGAGGGAGGATCTTGATCTACAGCCGAAAGATATTCGTCTTTTAGTGCATATAGCGATCAACTTGGATGTATCATACAATAAGTGTTGGAATGCTAGGAGGAAGGCAATGATAAAAATATTTGGGGATATGGACAAATCTTATGAGATCTTACCGTATTATCTTAAAGCACTCAAAAGAGAAAATCCTAGGACTGTATATGAAGTTTTATGAGACCCTCTTGATGGCTAAGAACGACGATTCACGGGTGTATTTTGGGCATTTGGGCCTTGTATTGAGGGTTTTCAATATTGTCGCCCTCTTCTTAGCATTGATGGCACCCACTTATATGGCAAGTACAAAGAAGTTTTGCTTGTTGCCACCGGAGTTGACG